AAGAGCAACATAGACTAATAAACGATTCTATAATTTCAAAAAAACCCATTATAATCAAGCTATTTATGAAGCTAATTACTGCTCTAACCTCTTTCTTGCGGTGGTAGACCTCAACATTAGTATATGTAAAATCCTTAAGCCCTCACATTCAAGTGAATTCACATACGTTAGTGAAGATAATGTATCCAATGAAACTAAGAGTGCTTTTAAACATATATAACGTATTATTACATTCTAACGTTCTCATTTCCCAAAGCTGAACTGAGAGGTCATTAAGACTGTGGTCTCTCACCTGTACAGAGATCGTATCAACACTCAGTTAAGCAAACCCAGTCCAACTCAGACCTTCAAGAATGCTTGTGTCGAAGTTATGCTGGCACCTATAGGTCGGTTATGAAACAATTTATCTTATGTTTTATTTTTAGTCTAATCCTAAGCACATTTTAAAAAATGTATTAACAAAAGAAAGCCTCCCATTGACAACGCTTGGGTTTGGATCAAACACACAGTGCCTAGTCACCATGACTACAAAGTACTGTCCAAAACAAAAATCCAAAATAAGAAAGTAGTTTCTTTCTCCCTCTGAAGCCCAGTGAATACTTCCATACATATATAAAAGGCTTTGGGTATTTTTGTCCGTGAAGTTATGTTTTTGAAAGACACTTTTGAAAAAGTAATCAGATGTGGTAACCTATATCAAAGACCACTTGATATCTTGGTCCTAAAGGACTTAAGGCTTGATCCTATTATCCATCAATAAGTTCTACAGCCAAAAACCAAAAGTGGCCTGCTCCCTCCATAGTTTCAGAATGGAAGATCTAACAAAATTTAGATTTAACTATGTGAAATCAAAGGCATCATACCACAGTTAGCTACTCTGCTTCCTCCAACTTTTGGGAGAAACATTTCATCTCCAGGTTTCCAGCTGCTGGAATACTTCCCAGCTTTCTGCTATCACAATCTGTATTCTTAATGTACACAAAATTAGCTAAACTTTCATAGGAAATAAAACCATTTTGATACATGGAAAAAATGTTTCACATTTCTATCCACAAATTTTAAGATCAAAAACATTACAGATTTTTGTTTGGTTCATTAAAAGTCTGGTTTCTAGCAAAAAGAATATCTTAAAATCTATTTAGAATCCAAATGTTAATGCTGGATGAAATAATCTCTGTAAATACCATGGTTCTAAATTCATACTTCGCTTCATATATATATAATTATATATAATTCAGTAATTCTATATCAAGCTTCATTTGCCTGATGCCTATGTTACACCCGAGAATCTGAAATCAGAAGGAAAGGATCAATAATCCAAAGAGTGAAATTAACATACGAAAACTCACCGGTTGAATGGCTTTATGTATAATTTTTTCTAAAACACCAACAGCCCAGAAGTAAGGACATTAAATGATGCCTGCACAAATTAAGCACAGCTTACACATGTTCAATTCCTTGATTATACCTTCTCCAGCATTCAGGGAACAGAATTACAGTGCTGACTGGCTGAATTATCGATGCAACTTTTCCTACTTACCGTACAAAATACAGCACCTTGCACACGCTAGGTAATTAGACAATATTTCAATCTTCAAATGAATTTAGAATTGCTTTTATGGTAAGCGTTTCTCAATCTGATACTACATTTCATTACAAAGTGCCTTATATTTGTCTCCACAAGGTCTTAGAGCAAAGTGGGATTTTTCCCACTTTAGAAAGAAAAAACGCAGGCCCAAACCACTGGCCTGTTTGCAATCCCCATTTTTTCAACAATGTATGGCTGGACAGCATTTTATTATGCTTAGAGGAAGGTCCCAACTGACTTCAGCAGGGCTTAAAATATTAAGCATTTCTGCAAACAAAACAGGTTTCTGAAGCTGAGAGCCCACAAAACGAGAAATACCTCACTGCCAAACACATTGTTCTAGGTCAGAGGGCTAGTCCATAATCAAATGGAAATTCTGGCAGAATCCAACTTTCTGGAGTTGCATTCCACTTCATAAGGCCATCCCCTCTCCTTCCCCAATCTTATACCTTTTTCATTACATGTTCTCTAAATTCATCAATAATTGAGAGGAGTCGTTCAAACTGTCTGCTTCACAGTGCAGCTTTGATTCTTCATCCATACTGAATAATCCATCCTTCACACTGAATAAGGCAAAGCACTCACTGAAAAAATAGCATGCGATCAATTTGTGGGGAGGGAAGATAAAAAGATTTTCCACCATGGACAACGCTACTTCTGCATTTTCAACCTTCTAACTGCTTTATTTTGCTATGAACAAACTTTATATTATTTTTAACTGCTTGTTATGAAGGTAATGATAAACACCTTGGCAGTGATTCACTAAGTGCCACAAGAGAAGGAAACACAGTCAATGTGGAAGGAATCAGCAGAGAATCTATCTGTCCTACTCTAATAGGCCTCTGCTGAGCACGTATAACTTTGCGCATTTGTTTGTTTCTCCTTTCCTTCCCAGAAACTTGTCCCTTGCCTAAATTTTTGCAGCAACAGCAGAAAATTAATACTTGCAGGATCTCTTTTCCAATTTTTACATCATACTGCAAAAGGAGAGAACACTAAAGACTGTTCTCAAGTACCATGGGCAAAGCAATTAATCTTTTCCCTAATCTCATTCTGAAAGGAGACAAAATGAAACTGATTTAGATAATAAAAAAAAATTCTTAAAAACCAAATCAAAACAACTTCCCCACAAATCAGTCACAGACAGATACCCAAAACAGAAAAGCAAAGCCCTAAAAATGTTATATAACTACAAAAGGCATAGGCAATCTTGAATAAATACTGCTATTTGTATTAAAGCCTAATTATTCTTATAACATTTTTTTTTTTCAATTTTCGTAACTCATTCTGCAAGTTCTTATTTCCTTACCCTACCCTACGTCCAAACTTTATCTTCCTCCTTGTCAGTCTTCATTTAAACAGTATTCTAGGTCCACAGCTCCCATTTCACGGAGGTACTAAGCATCAGAAATATTTCTGTTAAACATGAAGACGGAACTAACCCCAGCCCTAAGGGTTTATAAAAACCTAAGGAGCTTTGTTCCATTATTAAGCCTTCCAGAAACACATATGCTGCAAGTTAATACAAACCTTCTCATGTACAAGTTCTATTTATAAATCAGTTCCTCTACCCTAGCTACACAGTGTAATATATGTTTTGTCATCATAGATACAAGTACTGCTTTCTTTCAGACAATGAAATGAAAAACAAGAGATGGCATCTTTCTCTACCACATAATACAGATGACTAAGTTTTACAGCCCAAAAACTGCCAAGTTAGGAAGAGAACAATGTGCATTAGATGCAACAATGTACTACTAAAGTAATCGCCCACAGAGAATGCCTCTAAAGTTTACCAACATTATTGTTTCAGGAAAAAACAAAATGGAGATGTTTTAAAACTGAAAACCAAGATAAGGTAAAAAATGTCTCTTAATTCATGTTCCATATTCAAAACAATATTTATCTTTTCTTGCTTGATAGACAAACAGAAAATTGATCTTTTCCTATGCTACAAATTCAAATAAAATGGGGACTATTTCATCACTCTCTGAACAACGCTTTTTAGTAAGCATATTGTTCATAATCCTCAGCAGGATAATACATCTGAAAAAAGATATGCACTCCAATTTTCTATGCACTGACACTTACCACAGATGGAAGGGGGAGGAAAAAAAAAACACTTCTAGTTCAAATACCATTACATCAACTCACTGAGTTAGTTTCAGGTTGCTTAACCTGCTGAAGATTACTTTAGTTATAGACACAGAAATGAGTGAAAATAAAATCAGTTTGAAATCTTGAATCCTCTTGCCTGCCTCCCTCATTCTATACTCAAACCCAGAGAAAAAACACCATCTTTTAAAACTGAAACCAGGAAAAATGATGTCGGCTAACTGAATAGAGCGCCAAGCTTAGACAGAACAACAACTGCAACATAGATTAAACAAAATAGGCCCATTTTAGCTACTATGTCACAACATATAACAACCAGGAAAGCTACAGTCTAGGATCCCTTTAGAAACTGCTATTTCTGTCAGAAGTACTTCAGAGAGGCAATAAAGAGGACAGTTATTATTTCTGGTCAAGTCTCTAAAACAAGAGGAAAAATGTCTAAAGAGATTAGGATTACTTTTTAAATAAAGTTCCCATATATATTATAAAACAGTTTTCAAAAATGTAGTATTCTTTAGCTGGCTATACTTTTTTAGCTCTTTGGAAAATATACTTCTAAAATGTTACAACAAATTACTTGTTATAAATACACTCTCCACGTTTAAGTGTTTCACAACATGAGATGAGAAGCACTGACTCCTGTTTTATCATACTATCTCAGCAAACTAAAATGAAAAATAAGCTACTGTATAAACGATCTTTAAAAAATTAACAATATCGATCTTGTAGAATGTGTCTCTTTCTCTTTTAGATATTAGTCTTTATTCCCGTAATCACAAAGTTGTGTCACCTATTCACTTCAGCAATCAATTTAAAAAGTCAGACACAGGAAGTTAAACAGGTGATGGTTAGCTGCATACGCAGAGATGTGCTCACTATTCAAAAGTGCTTCTCTGACTGCAGAAAACAAAAAGAATAGGGACAGCATGTAGTGGCGAAACCTTCACTGCATATACTACGTAATAAAAGTAGTCTCTAGGTACTTTTATGACTCGCTTCTCACTAGGTATTTAAGCACTCCCAATGGAGGAAAAGTCCCAACACACTTTAAAATACACAGAGGTTTCCTAATATGTGCATAGACACAAACACATTTTGCAGTGTGTAGTGATCTGTAGAAAATTAAGGAGAGCTAGAGAAGGCCTTCAGATTGTCTAAAGATGTATTTTAAAACAGACAAAAGTTTACAAGCAGCAACAACTTCTTAAAACTAAAATTTATCCAGTAAGAAATATCTAGATTACAACTTTACATGTAAATAAAACATATGATTTTTCCATTAATAAGAAGTCCATACCTTTATCTGCTGTCTTCGAAGCATCGCAAGTTCCCTCATATCTCGAAACGGCTGTAGTAAGTATTGATAGAGTTCTGTGGTAGCTTCTGCAAGACTACTGTAGGCTTCATCTTCCATTTGATACAGTTCAAGCAGCTCTACCATGCTTTCTGTGTTCTTATGTTTTTCCAGAAGCTGTGAAAAAGGGAAAAAAATGCCAGTTCAGTGAATGTGTTCAAACACCCCTGCTATAAAATTCTAAAACTATTTATTTGCCTATTCTCTTCTATTATCTTCCCTCACCCACAAAAGCATCACTCAGACATACAAAGAAAATCTTAATCCCCACCCACACCTTGAACTAAGCCAGTCAAGTATGAGATTCCTCTGGTAACCTTAAGTCAAAACGTTCATCACTCCTACTGATCACTGCTTTCCAAGGGTCTCCAAAAGCTAACAAATGTGAGCACAAGGACATAAGAACAGCAGAAAGAGCAATTCAGTACAAGAACCTATAACGTATTAATCAGATATGCTATTTCACACATTTCCTACTTTCAGGTGTGGAGGGGAGAAGGAGTGACGGGAAAGGAGATAAAGAAGAGAAAAATCACATTTTGATCTTTCTAGGCATTTTTTCTTCTAGCCTGCCTGCACTCTGGACCCGCATAGCCCTGTTAAATTGGTGCAACTCCACTCACACGCACACGCTGATCTGTTTGTGTGAAAAAAAAGTGTGATCTACCTTTCTGGTAATTTTACCTTCTTCCTATGACTTTACCTTAGACAGCTCAGGTACAAAAGTTCAAATCCACAAAGTTGCCACTAGATTTTTTTAAAATGAAATTATCCAAATATTTTAAACTTTAAATAAAGCACTAAAATTATTTTTAATTCATCTAAAAAAATCACAGCTTCCTAAAATGTCTGTCCAATCACATGTGTACAAATTTGCTACGATTTTTTTTTTCATTTATATGTTTGCTTTGCATTTCTTTGGGGCATTTGCCTGGGAAGACCTCACTGCAGCTGTAAATCTTTTACCATTTCCAAAAAATTATTCAACTATTTAACTAAAACTAATCTCACAGAGACATACAGAAGTACTTGATGTATTTACAAAGACAGTATTTTCTGAAACTAATTCTCCTCTTATGTAATTTTCAGACCTTGAAAGTCAAAGTCTCTTCTCCTTTACAGCATCATCTCAAAAGCACGTATTCACAGTCCAGATTTATTTAAACTGAACACAGATTAGGGAAACTAAGGAATAAATGTATCATACCTTCTATCCATTCATTAAAGTTGGATGCCCACCTACTTGAGATATGCTCAGTATACTCAACTGCATCAAGTGGCAAACGTTCAAGCACAAGATTCAAAATATTATCTCACTTTTTGGAACTGATATGATTACTACTAAAAGAACAAGCTTCATCAGCACAGTATGGCGCGAACAGAAGATTGATAATTCAGATACTGCTACTAGACAGAGCCTTATCAACCTGATGAAGAGTCCAGGCTGCTTTAGTGCTACAGCGCAGCCTGCCAGCCCTAAAGGGGACATTGACACAGGAGACAGCTGGTGCTAAGCTGCCTGCCTGGAGGACCTCTCCCATGTCACTCTGTAAAGCAGCCTGATGGAAGCTTTCCTGCCCCAGATCAGAGTCAGCTGTACCATTTTTTAAGCTGGCTGCCATTCAGCTTTTAGCTTTCAAGACTGTCATGTAACAATAATGCCAGGTCTAGCACAGAATCCACTGAATTAGTAATGTCATAAGGCAAGCCAGGCCCTCCACAGAGGGTTAATCGGGTATGTTCAAATTTGCACACAGCCGGCATTAAGAGGATGCACTCTATCAGATACATGAAAATTCAGCCAGTACCTTTTAGTAAGATAGAGACATCGGTTAAGTTGGCCAAACGCCTAAATCCGCTTGGTACCTTAAAACTGTGCAGTTTTCAGTGTATTAGCATAAAAATAAATGAACAATTTTTGTGGCATATTTTATGTCCCACTGATGATTAATTCCCAACACAGACATTCAGTGTTTCTGTTCATTTACTTCAACAGCCTCAGTATGAATTTTTGACTTTCGCAATTTTTTAATTATATTATTAAAAGAAGTGGGTGGAGGAGGGAAGAGTAATATCCTGTACAAGCCTGACTAGTGCTAGACCCATTGAATACTGCATTTATTTTAAGAATCATGTTTCACAGATGTTACATTGTTCACAACTAAATGAATCCATATATTCTGGGCAACCATTATGCAGATAGACTCTAACCCACAAGAAACGCATTTTTTCCTCCAATTTAACAGCACATATATTTCATCCATATAACAAAGATTATTTCTGGCTTCAGTATTAAAAAAATATACTTTGCCTATAGAGCTTTAAAGGTAATACAGAGGACAGTGCAATTACACGCGAGTTAACCTGTTTTGAGCAAAACCCAAAGCTTGATTTAATCAATGAAAAGTCTTTTCTTACATTTCCTTTGCTATTCTCAAAACTTGAGCTGTTACTCCCTTTTCATTTTGCATAGTTTTATAAAACATTGTAAGATGATACCTATGCAATTTTAGCTAAAACAAGCATTAAAGATACTTCTCAGTCACTTACTAGGCTTTTTCATATTTTTAAAATAGTAACAACAGAATAACCTATTGTCATATGAATTTAGGTTTTCAGAAGCCTGACAGTACTACTTGCCATTTTTGGGAACAATTTTAAAGCTTTTTAATCGGAGAAGCATATTTAAAATCACAGGTAAAACTATGGAGTAGTTATTTTCAGAGAGCAGTACGCTGCTGCAGATGAAGCAGTTGTTAGATACTTCATCCTCTCCCCCAAACAGCAGTCCTAAGTATAAAACATCAAATCCTCCTGTTGATAAACTAGTAATAGGCTACATCGAGCTCCAGGCAATAAGTTCCAAAGAAATAAAACTCCAGAGTGCATAGAATTTGGACGCAATATTTCAGCAGTTGAACTTAGACAGTAAGTTGATCTATTAGAACATGCTTAAAATTGTTTCTATTCTCTTTTAAAACTCTCTTTAAATAGCAGTTTTCAAACTTCCTTATTAAAAACAAACACACCCACAACTTTTGGTAATCAGCAACACTCTCAACACTCAACTACAGGAAAACTGTACTATAGGTAATTTACTTTTCTCTCTCTTATATGCATGATCCCTTATTTTAAATGTCAGCTTTTGTGGTTGAAAGATCAAGCCTTGCCAGAACATTTAGCTTTCTGTTTGCATGATTGCATTACCATTAACATCTTTTGCTTTTTAATTTAGAAAGAGTATTTGCATTACTTTTGCAGCTGAGTATCTCAGTTAATGACCAAAACCTGACTTTCCAATACAGATCTAAAACAGATTTTATTGTTTGGGACAGAAACCATCTGCAAACACGCAAAAGACGTATACAGACAGTTGTGGTGGCACAGGTAAATAAGGTAATATTGCCCAGCATGAGAAGTGCTGGAATCAGCGCTACATCAGTCTAACTTCTTAAGATTAGAGGAAGATACAAATAGGTGAGCTGTTACGAAACTGATTTGGAAACCACAAAATTTATAATTGGTATTTAAAGCAATCATCCACCTACTGAGTGGACAAAATACTGAAGGGTCCGATTTTTTCAACCAGGCTTCTGAAGATAGAGGATTGAACTCTACGCCAACGTGCAGCAAAGGTTAATGTCTGGATTTTGGCAGGGGTTTCTGTACGGCTGTTTACAGAAGAACTAAGTTAATTAAAATAATCAAGCCAAACCAAACATATGTATAGCAAACAAATTTATCAAAGTTTGCAGTTATTCTAAAAAACAAACAGTAAACAAACAAACAAACAACACACAGCGAAGTAGTAACAAGGGTGTTTAGTACCTAACTAAAAAAAGAGAACACTTTCATAAAACGTTTCATGCCGTCTTCTAGGCCTGTGAAGAGCTGCTTACATCAAGTGAGCCACGTTACTCCTTAAACCCTGTTTAAAACCGTCTTTTATCATGGTATTTACTAGAGAAATTGACTGCGGACAGCACACCAGCAGGCAAAGACCAGCACTCTGCAGACTGGCCATCTTGGCTGCCTTTCACTCTTATGGCTATCTTCCTTTATACTTTGTTACTGCTCCAGGAGCTGTTAACCTGTCACTTTTGTCAAGTTCACTTACACTGTCTGCCAAAACCCACCTCATTTCAATACACTACCTGTAATACAAGTCAGCAGAAAAAGGAAAAACTGAACTACTCGGTAAGAAGAACTGTAGTAGTATTTTCAGGTAGCTACGTGATACAAAACATCATTTCAACGTATCTCAGCAGAACTGTGTTTATATGCCAATAATTAAAAAAATACACACCTCCTTTTCTGTAAAGACGACAAATGTATGTGTGGCAGCATGGCAGAAGCTGCTTTTGTTTTAAGATGGCACTTGTCTGATCGAAATAACTCACCTTATTGCATGATGTGCCATTCCAGAGTAATACCATCATTGCAAACTAGTATCAATAAAAGCCAGCTATTTGTTTGAATTCGATACATTACCTGGAATGGCACAGCCACAAATAGGCTATAATAAATCATAGCAAACAAGGGCTAATTATGTAGGAATGCCATGCTTTTTTTCCTGCTCTCAGTAACACAGGAATAAGTATTTATATTATAATGTAACTTGAGGAATAAAATAGATGAGTTTACCATACTTCAAAGTTAACTCTGGGACTCCTATTCCTACCTTTGGAAAGGGGCAAAATAATGAAAAGGCAAAGTCATTAATGAATCACTGAGCAGTTGGAACACAGTAATATTGAACCAAAAGACTGGTAGACAATACCTCACCCTGAAGGCTTGGCCAACACCTATGTTCTACTCATGTCCTAATAAGTTCTAACTTTTCCTGCAGGAGTCCAATCAAAAAACACCCCAAAACCAGAACACTAAGAACACACATTAAGATAAGTGTTCATGCTATGCCATAAAATACATTAACTTTTGGTTCACAGAACCTCTGTTCTGTGCTTCTTACCTATGCTCTTAGTTAGGAAAACATTTCCAAGAGTATCAAAATCGACAGCCATCTAAATAGAATAAAATTTGCATACAACGAACGCACTAAAGGGAATATTACGACATTACTTTTAGAGCCCCTTTCTTTGTGTAAGGTTCGCAGT